CCCTTTTAAAAATCAAGTGAGTGTTGGCCAGGGCACCCCCCCGCCGCCCTTCCTTGTTCGCCAAGTCCTGAGCATCAACCAGTCCCAGGAGGATGTGCAGCCGTTGCGCCGCGCGGGTGGGTACCCGCCTGCGAATTTTGCGACCGCGTCGGGACAGGTGGTGAGGTTGCAGGTGAGTTCGGTGGCGGCGCGTTGGAGGTGGATGTTTGAGGAGAGAAGGAGGTTTTCGATTGTAGGGAAGGCGAGGCGGGTTATTAGGGCTGCGGCGCTGGGGGCCGAGATGGAGCCTGGCGGTGATGAGGAAGTGGAGGCAGAGGTTGAGGCGAGGTTGGTGAGGGCGAGGAGGGATTCGAAGGCTGGAAGGAGATCGCGTGGGGTTTCTGTAGAGAGTGAGGGGGAGGGAGGGGTGGTCGTGGTGCTGGGTAATGATGACGGATCGAGGAGGTAGACGAGAGGTCTGATTGCGGTGGTGATTTGGGGCGAGCCGGTGGAGGAGAAGACGTGGAAGGGGTTAACGGAGATGAGGATGCGGGCGAGGGCGTGGGCAGCGTTCTGGGTTGGTTCGTCATTCTGGCGGTAGTTGGTGCTGTTCTCTGTGCGGGAGGAGAGGAGGGATAGGAGAAGTTTAACGGCGCCTTGCTGGGCGAGTTTGCCGCGGGTTTGTGGGGTTTTGGAGAGGGAGAGGAGGATTTTGCTAATTAGGTCTTGGATGGAATTCGATGTTGCGTTTGCTTTGTTGCAGTCGATGAGGAGGGACATGATACCAGCATTGATGACGGCTGCACAGCGCTCTTTGACGTAGTTGTCGTCATCCAGGGGATCGGATGCTGCAGGTTTGGTTGAAGCGTTCGCGTAGGATCTGAGCTCGGAGATTTTCTTTTGTTCTTCAGATAAAGTAGGCCGGTATTTCGTTATATTATGGATAATCATGAGTCCACCATAAATGAGGGATTGGTCGGTAATACTGTTCTTGAGAAGAGCCTCAAGGTCTGACTGGAAACTCGAGCCCTTGGAAACCAGCTGCTCCTTGACATCTGGCTTCACGGAGGAAAACACCAGGCCCTCAACCAAACGATGGAAGTCACCTTTCTGCGGACGCTGAGCAAGGAGGTTTTTGAATCTTTCAACGAGATCATGGGAACTACCACCTGATAGTTCGTTCCCCAGGAGTTTAGTCGCTGACGTGGATTTCAGAATTGCACCGTTTTCGGAGGCCCGAATTTTGGCCAAAATTACAGCAGCCAGTTCGGCATGTTCGTCGGTTTCTCTGCTCAACGTACGAGAGAGCCATTCTCCACAATGGCTATCGATTGCTTCGCGACACTCTTTGTCGATGCAGGCTGCGTTGAACAGCTCCAGCACAGCGCGTTCCACGGTTCTACCTCTCCGTTTCTGTTCCAGCAAGCCAGCAAGAGATTGAACAAACTTATTTGTCAAGAAGAGGGTTGCAGTCATGGAAGGGATGATGGGGAAGACAGCAGCAGCAGCAGAGAATGCGATTACGTAGTCGTCATTCCGCTGTCTTGAAACACGAGCGGTAAGGATCTTGGAGAACAGCGTCTGGCCGGTTTCTCCGGCAGCTTCGAGGTATTTGGCGGTTGCTAAAGTGGCCTGGCTGCGTACGTCGCTAGGTAGCCTCACGTCCAGAGAGGATAAAATGGCATCAAAACACTCCTCATCAACCAAATGCTGCAGATTTTCAGCGTCGACAGCAAGGAGTCGAGCAATACCCTTTAGAGAGCGGCCGTCCAGGTCATGCCCCGACTCCATGAGCTTGGCAATAAAAAGCTGGAACAGCTCACTTTTG